CCGGTGCATAACCCTTATTTTGAATGATCACTGGATATATATATGTGATGTGCATTTACATTATAGGCATTTTATAGAAACTACATGCATAGATGACCCACCTATGAGTCCTACTAGCATAGGTCGAGTGGCTGCTATGCTTAGGCTATCGGTAGCGTGGGTAACTTGCCATTACACACAATATGTGATTATTATTATCACTCGTGATAAAATAGGGAAAGGAAAAATAGAGACCAGACAGGGATATAGTATGGGTATTGGTGGGTGTAAGAGGTTGTGTCCCATGGCCAACGGGGCATAGCTTTGTTACAATGTTTTCCCTGTCCGTGTCAGTTAAGGACCGGCCGTTGCATTGGATTCTAGTCAGGCCACAGACTTATTATCCTAAGCACATACTTGTTTATACAAGTAGGGAAGGCTCGTTGCTCTCTTGTCATAGGTTTCAGCTCTTTTCGAACCGACTAATTAGAGGCGGGGATGGTGGAGGCCTAAACACCACATTGAGTCTATGACTCAGGTGTGGGGGCTTGGAGTCCAAGTTTGGACGGGGACCTAGACCCCTTGACAGGAGAGTGATGGGTTGGTCCTGCTTGTGTCCGGAGTACAAGCGGGACGTGTGTTTCGAGGTACCAACCGGGCACATTGATTCATGAATCACCGAGTAATCCGGTATGACTTGTCTATAGTTTAGCATCGTAGTAAGAACTGGAAGATGAAAGATGGTGAAATGGATCTGTTTGCTCAACTCTTGCTTGAAAGTAGAACATGTGCTTACATAGAATGGCTAGATAATGAACTAATCATGACTGCTAATAAAAAACATACATAAGGATTCACTACTAGTAATGCTTTTTGCGAAAAGGAAACCCAGCAACCCATAAAGCTTATCATATCCTTTGGAGTCAGAAAACTATTCCCACTATTCGGGTAAGTCTTGCGAGTACATCGTGTACTCAGGGTTTATTTACCCTGTTGCAGAAGAGTAGCTGTTGTCTAGAGGATTCTTCTAGTGGGCACAGACGGATCCTTGTATTCTACCGTTAGATGTTTATTGTAATTCCGCTATTTACATTCCGCACTCTGAACTTAGTACTGTAATAATGAATTTCTAAGAATTCTGGTTGTATGAAATGGACTAAGTATTGTAAACTCGTTCTTATTATTGGATCCTGGAGGAAAAACGTGGATTATTTGAGTTCTCCCTTGGGGTGTGCTCGACGGAATCCGTTCGATGTAGCTTGCTTTCGGGGTGCTTAGTGTCTGGTGGAAGACAAGTGCCTCCGAAGGTGTGTTATTTAGGACGGTTCTGCCACAGCCCGTGCCTCGCACCGTCAGCGTAGCGCTCCCCCGCGCCACGTTGAAAGCTCTAGTTTGGTTTTGGTGAATTGATGAAACCCTAAGTGCTAACCTAGTTCATCAAGTGATTATGAGATAGGTAGCACACTTCAAGTAGAGAAGCAAATGAAGATCATAACATGACAATGGTGATAGCATGGAGATGATCAAGGGCTTACACTTGAAGAGAAGAAAGAGAAAACCAAAAAGCTCAAGGCAAAGGTATAAACCATAGGAGCTATTTTGTTTTGGTGATCAAGACACTTAGAGAGTGTGATCACATTTAGGTTTGATAGCCGTACTATTAAGAGGGTGAAACTCATATCGGAATGCGCGGTTATCAAAGTGCCACTAGATGCTCTAACTCATTGCATATGCATTTAGGATCTAGTGGAGTGCTAACACCCTTGATAATATTTGTGAAAATATGCTAACACATGTGCACAAGGTGTTTGCGGGGTTGAGATGGATTTGGGTCCCTCTCTTCCTCCCGCCGAGCTTATGAGCGCGGGATTCGACGCTTTCGGAAAAATGAAATGTCTATTTTCTATTGCTTTGGATGCAAAATTCTTGGTGGTTGGCACACTTGAGCAAGGGTGAAGAAGTAAGAGTTGAAATGGAGTTGATCGAATGATGTTTGGCGTCGGTCTCCTGTGTCCTGGACCGACCGGACGCTCAATCAGCTTACCGGACGCCGATCTGCTCAGGTCCGGGTCAGCGATGACTTCAATGATACAATGGCTAGGGTTTGAGCACGGACGGCGGCTCAGCATCCCCGATCAAGGTGACGCGTCCGCCGAAAAATCATGCCTCGGGGAGCTTATTTGAAAGCGACCGACGACCGGGCTTCAGCTGTCCGGTCGGTCAAGGAGCAAAGCGTCGGTCGAGGCGAGGCGATGACCGTTGAGTCTGGACACGTGGCTAACATCGAAGCTACCGTGCGACGAGAGCTGAGCGTCGGTTAGTCTCGACCGAAAGCGTCCGGCCGAACGCTGCTTTTGCCCATGAAGGGGTATAACGGCTCTATTTGATGGGGGCTCTATTTATAGCCCCATGGCGGCTCTCAAGGGAGCTCTCTTGCACATTTTCATTGACATAGCAACTTTGTGAGCCTAGCCAAAGTTCTCCCACTCATTTTCATCATAGATTAAACATCTTTGTGAGATTGGAAGAGAATCCAAGTGCATTGCTTGAGTGATTGCATCTAGAGGCACATGGTGATTGTGTTTATTTGCGCTGGATTTCGCTTGTTACTCTTGGTGGTTGCCGCCACCTAGACGGCTTGGAGCAGCAAGGATCGTTGAGTGGAGGAGGTGATTGTCTCCGACTCGATCGTGGTGATTGTGAGGGGTTCTTGACCTTTCCCGGCGGGCGCCAAAAGTACTCTAGTAAATTGCTTGTGGCTTGTGTGATCCTCATCTTGTGTTGGTTGTGCGGCACCCTATTGAGGGTTTGGCGAGTGATGCCAATCAACTGCGTGAACCTCCAAGTGAGTGAATCGCCAAACGAGGACTAGCTTGCTTTAAGAAGCAAGTGAACCTCGGTAAAAATCATTGTGTTCATCATTTGATTCCGAGGTGATTGGTCTACATTGGTATTCATTATTGTGATTGATTGGTTCCTACCACTACACGGCGGTATAACCCTCTTGATCACTCTCTTTACTTTACTCATAAACTAGTTGACAAGCTCTTTAGTGTAGCTAGTTGTGAGAGCTTGCATGCTTGGTTGGTGTGGCTCTTTAGTTAGCTTTTGAGAGCACACTAACATAGGGTAGTGTCATTGCTCTTGTGTGAATTGACACTATCTAAACTAGAATTGTGGTAGGTGGCTTACATTTTTAAGTAGGCTAGCGCAACACTCGTTTCGCCTCATAATTGTCTAACCATTTGGTTAAGTGTTGTTGTAGAATTTTATTAGGCTATTCACCCCCCTCTCTAGCCATTAGGACCTTTCACACGTCAACTAGCCTTCATTGGGTGATAGGAAGTAGATAAGCACATGTTGCAACCGTAAGTTTCATGTGTTTCAGATGTATGTTGCATATGTTTCATCCGAATGTTGCATAAGTAGATTTGGTGTTGCATATGTTGCAATGGCTATACACGTACTCCCTCCATCCCTAAATGTCTGTCGTTTTCGCTTCTCGAGAAACAACTTTGACTAAATATATATTAAAAAATATTAATATTTATGATACATAATTAGTATCATTGGATAGATATTTGAATCTAGTTTTTTAATAAATTTATTTGGAGATAGAAATGTTGCACGCATTTCCTATAAATCGAGTCAAAGTTATCGGCACACAAATCGTGGCGACAAACACTTAGGGACAGAGAGAGTATGTTGCAAGTGTATGTTTTAAATGTTTTAGTTGTTTTAAATGTATGTTGCAAGTGCTTCATCTAGATATTGCATATGTTGCAGTGACTATGCATATATGTTGCAATTGTATGTTCCAAATATTCACCTGTATCGGACCTATGTTACATATGTTTCAGACATATGTTGCAAGCGTTTATTCAAAATGTTTCATCTATTTCAGACATATGTTGAAACTACAGTTGCTATACACTTGTTGCAAACGTATGTTTGTAAATATTTCACCTGTTTCAGACGTATGATGCAGAAGCGCTTTTCTATTGCAATATTAGCAGGCATAGGATGTGGGCGCATGCAGCTACGGTCCCCGCGGGCATAGCGGTCCCCACCTGCACAACTGCATGCGTAGGCACCCCACGAGACACAACTATATGCGTAGGCGCACTAGCATGCATCTAGAGGTAGATGTGCAGACACGACAGCTACATACGGGACGTGCATGCTCAAAGTTGCATGTGGGACATGTTTTTTTTTTTCCAGAGTTGCATGCGAGGCAGGCTTTTTTTAACAGGAAAGGCAGGCTTAGTAGCATGCTTGGCAGGCGGGAGTGTGTTTATAGTTCTGTTGAGTCAGCCCGCGATAGTCGATAGTTGAGCGAGTCCATACGAAGGCTATCAATGTGGAATCAGCGTAAACGTCACCCCTGCCTCCATTAGATAAGATAGAAAGGATTGCATATATTGATATATCTTGAGTTTTAATCTACGACCCGTTTCTTTCCCAAAACTTTACACTATATCCTATCAATTATTTGATATATGTATGAAGTATTAAATATAAACTAAAAAAATAATTAATTACACAGATTACGACTACGGTGCGAGACAAATCTTTTAAACCTAATTAATTCATGATTTAACAATGCGATGCTACAGTAACACATGTACTAATGATAGATTAATTAGACTTAATAAATTTGTCTATCACGGTTTATTAATAGATTCTATAATTTGTTTTTTTATTAGTATCCAAACACCCAATATGATTTCTCTGTATAACATCCGACGTGACACTCTAAAAACTTTACGTCGGATTTAAACGAGGCCACGTCTACGGCTCTACTCTAAAAGAGGAAACAGGAGACGTCAATACCGACTTCAACGTGCCTCTCCACATCAGTGTGCTCCCCGCTCCGTCTCTCTTCCCGTACGCGCCGACAGGTGGGCCAACAGGACCGCTCTACCTCTCGGCGCTCCCGCTCATCTCTCGCTGCCTCTGCCCCACGGCCTCACCCTCGCGGTCTGGCCCCCGCCACCGCCCTCCCTCCCCCCACTCTCTCCATGGAGCGCGCGGTCGAGCGCCACGACCGCGAGGCCAAGCTCCTCGTGCTTGCGCGCCTCCACCCGGTCTCCACCCTCGACCCCTCCTGCATCCTCCTCTCCTCGCCCGCCGTGCCGCCGCCGCCGTGCCCGCAGGCGCCCTCTCCCACCGCGCCGTCCTCGCTCCTGCTGATGTGGCGGGAGCTCGAGCACCGCCACGCCGACGCCGCCTACCCCTTCGACCGCGAGCCCTCCCCGGACAACGCCGACCGTGACCGCAAGCGCGTGCGCCAGATCGCGTGCCGCCTCACGGACACCGCCGACAGTCCAACCGCCGCCGCCGCCGCCACCACCGAGGAGTGGCTTGGTGAGACGGAGAGGCAGAGGTCACTCTCGTAAGGGAGCGGGTGCAGATGGCCAGCCAGCCGCGCGACTAACGTGCGGGCGCGCGCAGGGACGAAGTTGCCGCCGGCACCGACAGGGACAGGCAAGGGGAGCCTCGGCTACGAGGCCGGCAGGCGCGGTTGGGTGTCATCAGCCGGATGGCCAGGGAGCGACAGCGCGAGCTGCAGGGAATATCAGGGTACCATGTCGTGTGGGAGTTTCCTCGCCGCAGCTCCGTGCGCGCGCAGCTCCATTCACGGCTTCGCGCCAGCTCTGTGCTGGCGTGCTCCCAAGTTTCCGCTCCCAGGGGCCACGGCGGTGGGCGGGGGCTCCACTTCCTGCTGCAATGAGCACAACCCCAATTCGATTCGAGGTTGAGCCCATGACAGGCCTGACGAGCGTCAGCGGGTGCTACTGCTCCTGCTGCCCCTGCTCCGTAAAGGTGACTCGCTTCATTCTTGCTTCTTGACGATGGTTGCTTCTAGCCTTCTAGGATTAGCAGCATCTTGCTACATTTGCTCATTTTCTAGCTATAGATTTGGGAGCAAAAGGTGTTGTAGTGAAGGTGATTAATAGCCATGGTTTCAAGGGCAAGATCATCAAAAAAGAAGGTGCGTTCATACACATACGTGAATGATTTATTAAGTTCTGTTGTTGAGAAAAGCAGTCTTAGATGTAAAGTAAAAAAATTCTGATGAATATGACACCTGCATCCTACTGTTGTGTTTGTGAATCCCTTTGTGACTGTATCATAAATGATGGTATTTCATTATCAACCAGGCAACAAGCAAACTTGACATGTTTTTTAACTGAATATATATAACATTTATGAGGGAGATATAGTTTTTTACCAGGATATGGTTTCTGTCAATACTTTTTACATGCAGTCCATATCCTAAATTAGCTGCAGCACACATATTAAACCAAGTATCAAATTGCTTCTTGCAGGCTGTGGCGCCATCTGGAAATGGAAGAGCGCCAGATGCCATTGCCAATGTGAATGCAAGCGAGAGGGAGACAAAACCTCATATAGAGGCTACTGGCGCAGATGGTGCTGAGATTGGGACTGGGTCCCAGCAAGATGAAGTCCGGCCACCAAAGTCAGGGCTCCAAAGAAGAAAAAGAAGACTTCACCGATTTGGAATCATTTCACTGAATTGCTTGTTGAAGAAAAGGCGGATGGCAATAGTAATCATGAAGATGGCAATGACAGCATTATGGATCGTGATGATGGTGACAACACTATGGACCTAGAAGAGGAAGACAGTTAGGATTACATTTGCTTCAGGTTACTCCCTATGCCTTCTGTATTTTTTCAATTTATGACCCTGTGTGTTTTCAAATGTTGCAACACAATTATGGTTATTATTCAGAATTTCAGATAGTTAAAATTGAAATGGTAAATGGAAAAAATAATTGTGTCAATCTGTTGTATAATATCTAATCTGTGCGACCTAGAATATTTTTTGTACACGTGAATTCAGTATCTAATCTGTGCCAATTCTTATGATCTCCTATCATTTTTTATTCGAACCATTCATTTTGTATTTGTATTCGCATACGCATCCAAATTAAAATGTGGTAAAAGGGGACACCCGCATCAGATTCTATGTGTATTTGATCCGTTTCCATCCATAAATAGGAGCATAGGACTGACACATTAAAAGACCATCCGGTAGCTGCAGGGTCAGGTTCAGTAAAACTGGTCTCAGATAACATATTAAAAAGACGCATCCATGTAGTTTTCTGTTTATGCTGATTTCTTTACCTGATTCTATTCAACGTTGTGGTTCTAAATTTCAGTTTTGTTCCATTGCAGAGACTAGCCCTCGAGGAAGCTGTAGATTGCAGTGTTACCTAAGCTATAATAATTTTGTTGTGCAAGTAGCCAGGTGATGTGTTCTGATTTCTGAGAAGGATCGATTTGCACTTTTGAATGAGATTGGTATATAGCCACTTTTGAATGAGAGTGGTATATAGCTAGCTGTAACTGGCCGCAAATCAATTATTTATGAAATATGATGCCTCATGTTGTAGATTTGTAAGGATACTTCTCTATGATTATTGCAAAAATCAAATATTCTAATTGTGGTTGTTTTGACAATGTTATTAAAATTGCTGATTGTTTATTTGAATGTGGCCCAAAATAGTATGTTATGAAGCTGACTTTTTTTTGTTGGATGTTCATTTTGATCCACTATTTTTTCTGTACTCTTATTACGTGGAAAATTTTGAAGCCCCCGACCCACTATTTTCTTCGTACTCTTATTGCATTTGAAAGTTTTGAATCGCATAGGCATCTACTAGTCTATCTTATAATCCTAAACCTCACTGAATTCTATCTCCATATACATAGTATCTACATCTAACAACCCACTAGCGCATGCAATTATGGCACTTAGGCACCTATCTATTCATGCAAGCTATCTATGTCAGCATGCCACATTATCTACTAACATGCATTTATTTCACCAGCAATCACTATAAGCCATTATAACCCTTTACCGACCGATGCCAATGTTTTTTCGCCAATTATGTGTCATGCGATCTCCACCGATTATTACAGCATGGAGAATAAATAGAGTTAGTCGACTCATACAAGGTTAGTAAAAGAAAAGCACACACGATTAGAGGACATGTTCAAAATTTGTCTGTCTCGTCTCCCTATGATCGTGCAAGTTAGAGGAGAGTATCCAAATATGGCAGGCAGCCTGATCCTAGGACAAATTCGAATGACTGACACTATTATTGGATAGAATATGCAAGTCTCTCATGCCTATACGAGCTAGAGTAGTGCGTGTCCATGCACGTTACATAATTCAAATTCAAGATAATGTATGACGCTATTGTTGAATAAATCTTCAAGCAGCAAATCTACCATGTTGTCGTAAAATAAGCTGTACATCCAATTGCAACACACGAGTATGTTTGCTAGTAAACAATAAATGGAGACAGTGGATTCATTTGGATGTCAAACTGCCAGATTAGTGGTATAGGGCCTGTTTGACAGAACTCTAGCTCACAACTCTATGCAGAATCTGGTGTTTGTTTAATAAAATAAAATATCTTAAACTTCTAATTTTAATCTGAAAAAAGAACAAGGTGACTAAACAAAAGACCCTCGATGAGCCCACAACTCCAGCTCTACAGATTTCTAGAGCCAGAGATGGCTAGCTCTAGCTCTACAAATTTGTAGAACTGTACCAAACACATATAGTATAACTGAAGTTTGCTGGCCAAAAAGAACAATAGTGTCCTTTCCGTTAAATATGTAGTGAAAATTAAGAAATTAACATCTATTGGGACTTCTTCACACTATAACCATGTGGAGTTGGACTGACTTGAATATAACCCACCTAATGTCATCCATCTCCATCTCCCTATCCCATACCACATGAGTATCCAAACGCCACATAAGATTGAACATGCATTCTTGTATACAGAGGTTTCAATTGTGAAAATATATTTAATACAAAATGAAATGGATATCAGCAGTAGTTCAGAAGAAAGTAAACTGAGCAAATCAAATCTTTTCAAATGCTCAAGCACAGGTGTTATACTTACATGTTACATCGAGGTTGCAGATATTTGAGGTGTGAGTGACACATAACAATTTCTATTGAGTGTCTCCTCTTCAAATGAAGTTGAACATGACAAGCAATGATCTTTAAATTTATATAGTGTTTAAACTTAACTTATATGCTCAGGATCATCCCAATCCAGACCATCAATCAGTACATCATACTTGTGATCCATATGTGACTGCAAGCAATCAAGAACAACCAGGACATTGTTTACCTGGCTCTTTGATCTGTTTTCTGCTGTGAAAGTATAAACTTTATTGCCAACTTCTATCCAACTGCACCCGATGTTTGTTTTCAGCCCTCTCTCCTTCATCACCTTCCTCACTCTTGCCACATCATCCCAGCAGCCAATGCTCCCATACAAATTCGCTAGCTGGACATGAGTTGCAGCACAACTTGGTTCCAGCTTTAGACGGTGCTCTGCAGCTTGCATGCCGATCGAAATGCTTCCATGCACCCTACAGGAAGCTAGCAGGGAGCCCATATGACACCATTTGGGGGCATGGGCATTGTCTGGATCAGATCCCATGCTTCATCAAGCAGCCCTGCACGGCCAAAAAGATCGACCATACATGAGTAGTGATCTATCTCTGGTACTACTCCATTTCAATCATTGCCCTGAAGCAGCGTCGGCCCTCCGCCACAAGGCATGCATGCCGGCATGATGAGAGCACGCCAAGGAAGGAGATCGCATCCGGTATTATGTGCCCTTCCATTTCTTTAAGCAAGCCTAGGCAATGCTCAGCAAGGCCATGCTGTGAATATCCAAAGATCAAGGAGTTCCAAGAGACGAGGTCTTTGCATGTAATGCTCTCAAATACAGCTCGTGCTTCACCAATACTCCCGCACTTTGCATACATTGATATTAGTGCATTGGACACATGCACATACGAATCAAAACCCATTCTCATCTGTAGGGCTTGCACACTTTTACCAAGTACAAGAAATGCATGATTAGTGCAGATACTGAAGATAGTTGTAAATGTGATGTCATTTAGCTTGCACACAGACCGCCTCATCAGTGCAAATAAATGGAGACATGGTTCGACCTGATTATCCTGGGCATAGCCAGAAATTAATGCTGTCCATGTCACAGTATTTTTTGCTGTCATATTTTGGAAAACCCGATGAGCAATTTCCAATTGGCTGCATCTTGAATAAAAACTGATCAGCGAGCTGCCAATGGGGATAGATGAGACATATCCTACTTTCACTAGTAGAGCATGGAACTGTACACCTGCGGTAAGAGTTTTCCTATCAGCACAGTAACTCAGTGCAGATGCCAAAATAGATGCATCTGAACTGATTTGTCCCCTCCTATGCAACTCCACAATTTGCATAAACATGCCCTCCTTTGTGAGTCTAGTTATGGAGGGGCAAACTGAGGTATTATTTGAGACAATGTTACTGCGTTCAGGCTGTGCTTGATTTGAGCTTGAATTAGCAAAGCTCTCTTTACCCTTACGCATAGCATGCAGTTTTGATTGTACTCCCAAGATGTCACCCATACAGCCATTGATAAGGCGGTGATGCGACGGAACTTCCTCTTGGTCATGATGGTGCTTGGATGGTACAAGGTCCAAAACTCTCAATGCATTTTGAAGGTTGGCACGCCTTTGCTTTCTTGATCTCTCAAGTGTTGGGGATGTGCCAAAATTTGCCACAACTAGATGAATAGTTGCAGCCACCGCTGGCATAACAGCATGGCATTTGAGATGACAGTGGTAGAAGAGATGTCTGTGCATGTCAGCAGTGGACCATCAAGAAAAATTCCCATGGGTGTGCACATTCCACAGGCGCAAACAAGTTTGATTTTATAGTATAACTGCATCACAAATTCAGTATAGTTAAGTCAAACTGTCAAAGATTAGGCTAATTGTGCTAGGCTATAATTGTTTAAAGCAAAAGTATCAAACAGTCTTCCATGGCTAGAAAATTACAAGTATTCTACGAAAAATTAGAGCATCGCACAATATTGTTTCGTGTAATTTCAAAATGCTTTGGATAAGATCTGAATACAAATAGCTTTACAATACTATGTCTCTACTACAATCACAGAATAGTTAATTGCAAAAGACAGGGTGGAGGAAATAATTTTTTTTTTCTCTGAACACACTAGCGCAGGTTCCTGTAGGATACCAGAGACTTCTACGTGGCATTCATACGCTGAATCACAAATTCATACTTCCCATCACCGATTACTCACCAGAGATGCAGCGCAGCAGTAGCACTTAGCAGAGGCATACCAGCACTCCAGCAGGAGAAGAGGCAGAGCACTAGAGCAGCAGCGGCAGCGGCGGCCAGAAGGCGCTGGTCACTGGGCAGGGGCGCTGACAGCCCGACCACGCTGCGGCTGCGCAGCCGCCGTGGAGGATGGAGACGTGCTGTGCAACCGCCCAGCGGAGTCCAGCTCCGGCGGCACCGCAGCGCGACGTCAGCGCTCAGAGGGCGCTGGGATCAGGAAAGACGACGGCGCTCAGAGGGCATCGTCTCGTCTGGCAGCGCTCAGAGGGCGCTGGGATCAGGAAAGACGGGGCGGCATCGTCTCGTCTGGCAGCATTGGTCTGTCTGGGACTCGTTGAATCAAAGTTGGCTTTCTACCACAGCAGCTAGTGCGGTGAAGGCGCGATGGGGGCGGAGGGAGCCGGCGGCGGAGGACCGTGGGGAGGAGATCGGCGACGGCAGAGGACGACCCGACGGTGGCGCGTGGCGGAGGGGCGGTGGGACGGAGGAGCAGGGAGAGGAAGAGAAGGGGCGGGGCGGCGCGGAGGCGGAGCAAGAGCGACGGCGCGAAGGATAGCGGTCGGGCGGAGGAGCAGGGAGAGAAGATCAGAAGAAGAAGAGTATGGGTCAAACTTCGAAGCCCATAACCATTCTTTGCTGGGCCAAAAGCCCAGCTCTCCAAAGGCCCAGCTCTCCAAACAATTGCACTGCTGTATGAAAGGACAAAGGAAAAGGAGGATATAGCCGCCTACGGCAACCTCGATAAACCAAGTCCCATAGACCGCGAAGACACAGCCCCACCAGTCAGGTATTCACGCGCGCCGAGGCTCCCGTCCCCCACCGCAACCCGTGCACCGGGTCCACGCTGCCCCCCTTCACCGGGGCGGCGAAAGATCTCAGCCGCGACGGGCAAGAGCGCCGGCGAGCGCTCGTCCACCCGGGCCTATAAACTGGCCACGGCTCCTCCTCTCGCGTCGCAGAGCCCAGCCTCGGGATGACGTGGCGTACCGCGACTCCACCACACCTCACTCAGCCCCACAGGTCTCCGACCAACCCCTTCTAGAAGCTTCCAAACCCTAGCGCAGGAGGAAGAGGAGCGTGGAGGAGCTCCAGGGATGGCGAAGGCGAGGAAGCAGAAGGGTGACGGTGGCGGTGCAGGCGGAGGCGCCACCGTGCTCCACCAGAAGCTCTGCCTCTCCATCGACATGGAGAACCAGCTGATCTACGGGTGAGCCGTGCCGCAGCTTTAACTGTGCCGAAATAGCTGCGATCCTCTCCCCTGGTGCCCGCACCATGACCTTTTGTGCGGGTTTAGCAGTTCTTCTGCGCTGTTTAGCGGGTGATGGGTTGAGGCGCGAGGATTAGGGTTTGGAGCTCGAGGTGGAGCAGGGCGTTTATGTTGCGAGCGTTTGCGCTTTGTGCGTTGGAGTTAAAATGCTTTGTCTGATTTGTAAGACATATGACTCAATTTGTTTGCTGTTAATCAGTTATCGGATTTGATAGTGCAATGTCATTGCTGGGTACTGACTGAAGTTGATGCTACTGTCTGAGTAGTGAGCTGTACAATGTGATTACTTAATAATGTCTGGTGAAGCTTTCCTCGTCTACTTGTGCTTGGCTACTCATTTTGGGCTGTATCGTAATGTCAAATTCTATCAATTGCATTAGTAACTGTTCGTACCTGTGCAACAATTAGTTGCCTGCGAGGTCTGAATTTCTGTGAAAGTTCGTTGTAAGCTGATTTAACCATGCACATTATGATGCTTTGTGTTATGATGGTTCTGCCTTAGTAATGTTTACTGGATTCCTGTAATAGAAGGTGCAAATTACTGGGATGCTGTGCTGAAAGAGCCAATTTATCATCGTGTAAACCATGAGCTGTCTCTGTTGCCATCGTGCTAAACAATGAGCTGCATTTTTTGTAAATCAAACCTTAAGTTATTTTTTGAAACCTGACTGGGATGCATTTGACTATTTGCTGCTGTGCTACATTTGATAGACACTGTGGTATACTATATCCCTGTGAATTCAGGCCTTTTTGTAAATGCTAGATTTTTTTTTTGAAGTAGTAGTGCTTTGTTTTCACTGTGTTAACAGAAGGTAGCTTTTCCTCACCAAAAAAAAAAAAAGAAGGTATCTTTAGCTTTCTCCATTTGAAATTAGTTCATTTGATTTGAGTAATCTAAATACAGGGATTGCATTGTCTGTAAACTAATGTAGATTTTTTTGAAAATATATACATATTTGTATTTATTATTTGCCACTTGTCAGAAAAGTGAGTATAATTCCTTGTAGTTCTTGTTAAGACAATATTAGTGAATTTAGTAAAGGAGCTGGTGGAAATTGCAACCTTTGTTCGCGGTTGTAGCCTTTGATAACTTCAAGTGTTGGCCTATGTGTATCATATTAGCTTGACACCGTTGGCAAGTCATTATAGTTGTCATTATTCTCCCAGGCAAGTTGCAGATTAAGTTATTCTGCTAGATTCAACATTTGAATGCACTTTCCACTTTTCCATTGCATTATGCTCTTTAGTTAATGGGGCAAAGGATGCCAACTACACAAATTGGATTGGAAGCAACCTGTTCTTTTGGTGAATTGCATTTAAGCTATGTACAAAGTAACAACATATGAGAACATATACATGCCTTCTGCATTTCATTCGATGATGTGGTTACTTTTTGTTGTGTTACTCATTGATGTCTGTTTTTTTAACGATACAAAGGGTATAGGACCACTCAAATAATTATTAGAGACCAGTCTGGATGAACTTTACTCTATGTGCTGACAATATGACTGTGGGAGGCTGACAACTTGTTTTTGGTCCATTCATTAAGGTACACTGAGATAAAAGTTCTTCTAGCTGAAAACGACACATTTGCTCTACATGCTGACAATATGACGATCAGGAGCATTCTGGTGGATGGTGAAACTGTTGAGTTTGACTATTCCCCTCATTGGAAAAATGAAAGTGATCAACCTAATTGGTCTTCAATATCATGTTTGAAGACTGCTGCTGATGCTGCATGTTCAACATATACTTTGTCTCTAAATCGAGAAGCTACACCAAATCTTATTGTGTCATCTGAGAGATCAGTCAAGTCAATGACTGAGCAGCAGTTAGATGAAAACAGTGAAAAGCATGAAGAAAATAGTGGAAGGCTTGAAGAACATGGTGGAAAGCCCGTTCAAACTTCCTATGATCAAATTGTTAATGGCTGCAATGGTTCTGCAGTGGAAGAGGGAATAGAAAATTCTGCAGTGGAAGAAGGAAAAGAAAAGGAAAAGGAAAAGAAAAAGGAAGAGGAAAATGGAAATGAGAAGAGCAAGGAAAATGGAAATGAGTCTGAAAATGAAAAGGTAGAATGAATGTGTACACTAATACACATTATTTATCAGCTATTTATGTATTATTAGACATGCGCAGACATGATACTTTTGTTAACATATTATAGGTGAAGAACATAAAAATGGTTCACATAGATTATATTTTGGAGAAGGCTGAAACTGGCATTCACTTCGTTGGCAATGTCATGCATAGCAGTAGTCAGATAAGGCGGGCACACTGTTGGTTTCCTTGTGTTGATAGTTCCACACAACGCTGTCCGTAAGTTAAATTTATTCTTTCCTGCTTTTGTAAATCCTGGTATAATATTTGCCTTTGCATGTTAATAATTCTCTTCTCTTTATACCATGTTATGCCCAGATTTGACCTAGAATTTACAGTTAGCACAGATTTCATCGCTGTCAGCAATGGTGACTTGCTTTACCAGGTATGTGTTCAATCTTGATCAAGAGGTCTAGAGAGAAAATATTAAATTCCTTGTTTTGGAAGAACTGACTTTTGTGAAATAACAAGGAGGCTCTTTTAGCTTTAATGCACTTGGTATTACAGTTCGTTTTTCTGTGTGTAAATGTTACATGATGTTCTTTTTTTGTACTGTTTCCTGATCTTGGAAGGTCTTTCTCTTTCACATTCTTCTCTTTCACATTCTGCTCGTGCTACATCATGCAGGTCTTAAGTAAGGAAGATCCTTCAAAAAAAACTTATGTGTATAAATTGAACACTCCAGTTAGTGCACAGTGGATATCCTTGGTTGTTGGTCCGCTTGAAGTTCTCCCTGACCAAAATGACATAAATGTCTCACACATCTGTTTATCCCCTGCTTTGGCAAAGCTTCAGAACACTATTGCATGTTTCCACGATGCATACAGGTGCTGATCAATCATTTTTTGTGAAAAGTGCTTAGTTTGTGTTGGTTTTATTAGTATCTGAATAAGCTTCTTTTTTTGATTGATTTCTGAAATTTGCGTTTTGTTTGCAGGTGTTATGAAGACTACCTTGCTGCACCGTTTCCCTTAGGTTTATACAAGCAGATTTTTCTTCCATCTGAAATAACTGTATTACCAGCAAACTTAGGAGCCTCCACGTGTATCTTCAGTTCTGATATCTTGCATGATGAGAAGGTTATAGATCAGGTGTGTGTGGTTCTCGTACTTTACTCCCCTGTCCCCTTTGAGGTTGACCAAACAATTTGACACCATACTTTTTCACGAGATGCGAATGTGTGGCTGCTATAGCATGTGCTTATCAATTGTGGTAATTCTCTATTTAGCTATTTTTCTTATTAGCTATTGTTTTTTAGCTCCATTTTTGCCCACTGGGAGCATTTAGCATCAGTAATTCTACTCCAGTATTTTTGTTTTAACTAAGTTAGATTCTGCTGTAGATGCCTGTATGACACTACATGCTTGTTGACTTGATCAATTAGTTTGGTACCTCCAGCAGATACTATAAATATGTTTGGAACATGTCAAATACTTCTGAATGTTTGCATGCCTTATATTTTGTATTTTTGCTGTCATGCTTTGGATAGGAGTGCATGAAAATCTGAAATCCATGTGCCTGAATCATGATCTGCTATTACTTTTACTTTTTCTTACTAGGCATTAACCTTGATTCTTTGTATCCCCTTAACTAGTGGCTTGGTAATGCTTTCTACTAGGCATTAACCTTGCTTCTTTGTATCCCCTTAATTAGTGGCTCTTGGTAATGCTTTGTGTACCTGTTGTTGGTCCCTCGGTTGCCTTGCACAAGTAAGCAGTAAGCTTATCAGCATACTCACTCACTATGGCTAGAGGTAGAAGAAGAGATTGAGCTCAACACACACACAGCACAAGCCCAGCGCTGGCCGAAAGCTCTGCTTCTGGATGTGGCAAACTGAACTGCTCTTTTGCATTGCCTTAGGTGTGATATATATACAAGTGTTAGTATCTCTACCAGGTACATAGTTGTTGGTGAGTACACCAACTACCTACTCCTAAGATACACCAACTACTCCTAGTACTAGCAGTACAAAGCTTAGATCAGCCCACTACCAAGACATGGC